AGGCACTGGGTGTTGGAAATGTAGAGACCATGACCTAAGCTCTTCAGAGTACACATCCTCGGGGTAGTCGAGGCAGACCTGGAAGATAACAATCAGAGTGAAGACCAGAAGTGGCTGTGGTGAAGTTAGGCACCCAGCATCATAGGATCATAGACAAGGGGCATCCAGGGTGGGCCAGGAAGGCAAAGGCAGGCATTGTTCTGAGCTGAGTCTCAGCAAGCTTGGCCAGAAAAGGAAGAAGCAGGTGTGAAAAGAGGAGCAAAACAGAAGCTAAAAGCTAGAAGTACTGGCAGGAACCACATACTAAAGGAAATTGGAAATTCTGAGAACACTGATGGCCTTTAGATAGATGATATGGCTTGGTAAGAGTGAAACTTGAGGTTATCTTTGCGATTGTAGGGAGCATGGAGGAGGGAGGGCAGGGCAGAGGCAGGAGAAGAGTAGGAAGCTAGAGTCACACAGGCAAGCTCTGCTCCGATGGGTGCCTCAGCTGATGAACTAGCGATGCAGTAGACCTAAGTGAGCCTGGGGAGACGACACCACAAGCCTGGATGCCTGATTTGGATGTGCAGAGTAAGAAAAGTGAGAAGCTCAAAATGCTTACCTTTAGGCTGGCTGCACAACTTCTTACACAGTGAAGAATTTCCAGTGTCCTCTGTAGTCTGGTTCTTGACTATACTTCTGGCTTTAGCTTCAGTTTTGCTCTTCTTTTCACATCTGCAGCTGTCTTCCTGCGACCACTCCACAGGCTACTGGTTGGGGAAACTAGGTACAGTGTTACTCCTGGAGATAATGCAGGCAGGAAGAGGGCGGGTTTGGAGGCTCGTTACATTTCATCCATGCTGAATGTGAGATGAGGGGCTCTGTGGCCCAGTGGGCAAGGAATTCCACTGCCGGCACAAAGGTGGTGGTTGTTATGTTTCGTTGAGTTGGAACTGACCCAAAGCTGACCCTCCAGTGCTTTTTCAGAGGCAGTAAAAAGTATAGGCAGGGATTGTCTTTCTCCCACAGAGCAGCAAGTGGATTCAAACTGCAGAGAAGCTTCTTACCACCAGGCCACCAGAGTTCCCTCCTGTGCAGTTTATAACCTCTGGAAACCTGGAGGGTCAGCTGTGTATCATTTCTCATGCAACCACAGTGAGTTACCAGCTTTTGAGTCACAACCAAGAAGCTGGAATTAAGGATGCTATAACAAAAGAGAGGGGAAAGTGCCAACTAGCTTTAAGCCATATATTGAAAGAGAAAATTGCCTCTGAGATTGATCAGCTAGTGATGGTCTCCTCAAATTCTCAGGACCCTTTTTGCTATTTTAGATGAGATTTTCCTACCCCCTTTCTAGTTCTCTGTCAAAGCCCAGTTCTTGACTGATAATTAGGACAAAAGCAATTTGAATTGGTTTAAGGTAATTTGTGAAGGGTGGCTGTCATCTTCCTTGGAGTGACTACATTGTCAGAGTGGCTCTGAGTCTATTAGAAGGAATCTTTCATTTGTTGTGTGTTAAGTAGTGTGATAAAAGAAGTTAAAGACTTTCGGACACAAATGTTTCCACAAGAGGCCTCCTCTTTCTGGAGTCAGCACCCCTGAATGTTTTTCATAGCTTCTACAATTTGTTTTATACTAGACATTCTCTCAAGCCCCCAAGGTTGTGTTGTCATCTCTTCCCGTGCCCGCTCCCCCCACTCGGCTGGTTTCTATGACAGCAGCAACTGGGGCACAGGTGGTGAGGGGCTGGGGGAGGGGTCACAACAGCTGCAGCCATTCAGATGGATTGTTTCTAAGTAAGAGGCTGCCTCTGTGGTGGGAGGTAAGTGGGGGTGCTTCTGGGTGCAGCGAATGTACCTTCCCCTAGAGCAAACAGACCCAGGCAAGCTGGCTCGAGGCTGATGGGCATCAGAGGCATCGCCCACATTTGTGGGCCTTTACGGGGAGATGTGTCAAGTCCGCAGTCTCTGCCTTCCAGGTGCCAGGGGGTTGTTAGGTTCAGATGGAATGCAATTCCCCAAGCCACTTCCATTTGTCGTAGAAATGGCAACGTTACGCCACAACCGATCAATAGCTGGAAAGTGGCTGTCAGGAATCATCGGAAACCAGAAGGTCTGAGAACAAGAGACACCACTGGGAATAGGCTTAGGCGAGATTGCTGCACAGCTATTGATCCTGCAGCCTCTCCTTCAGGCATCTGCTTTGGGGACCACCATTCTCTTCAAAGTCCTTGAATCGCCAGTAGCTCTGGGGCACAACTCTGGGGTCGGGTGATGGTTTATTTTCCAAGTTTTAAGTTTGATCTTTCATGGACCCAGGTTTTCGCCCTAGAAAAGCAGGAAGCTAAGCCCAGCATTCTCAGCTTTTAATATGCATGCGATCAGCCAGGCACTTTATTAAAATGCAGGTTCTGATACAATTAAGTCTGGGGCGGACCTGAGATTCTGCATTTTGATGAGCTCCCAGGTGAGCTCCAAGCTGCTAATGCCTGGGCATGTTGAGTATAGAAAGTATAGAGCTAAAAAAAAAGTGTAGAGCTGCACCCATACATTAGCCACTGGCCACATATGGCTGTTCTAATGTAAGATTAAATTAATGACAATTACATTAGAAAAAAAATCCCTTCTCCAGCTGCTTAGGCCCATTTCAAGTATTCCATTGCCACATCTGGTTATGGTTGAATTAATTTTGACTCGTAGCAACCCACTGTGATAGACGTGCTGAATGGGTTTTGTACCCTGACATGTTCTCGGGAACAGATTGCTGGGTCTGAGTGGATTTGAACTACCAACCTTCCAACTAGCAGCCTAGCACTTAGCTGCTTTGCCTCCAGGTTCCTTTATATTTAGCTCCAAAATACCAAACTCATTCTGATGGTTTAGCGGTAAGGAATTGTCCTGCAGGCTCAAAAACATGAAGGATGTGTTCCAGTCCACCAGCTGCTTCCCAGAAGGAAGATGGACAGGATCCTCCCAGGTGACTTTACTGCCTCTGAAAACCCAGTGGAGGGTCACCTATGAATCGGTCTAGGCTTGACGGTACATACCAACAACACTGCCACACTAACCTGTAGCAAAGAGTTGTTGCCGTTAAGTTGGTGCCGTTAAGTCAAGTGTGACTCATCACTGCCCTATGAACAGCCGATCTGAACCCTGCCCCATCCTGTGCCACCCTCATCGTCTTCGACATACCTGAGCCCACTATTGCAGTCACTGTGTCAGTCCATCTCATTGAGAGGCTTTCTTTCTTCCTCTGACCCTCCACCTTTCCAAGCATAATGTCCTTTTCCAAGGAATAGTCTCCCCTAACAACATGCCCAAAGCATCAGACTGAGCTTTGCCATCCTTGATTCCAAAGAGTGCCCCCGGTGCAGCACTGTCTCCAGGAATACCTGTTTGTTCTTTTAGCAGTCCATGGGATTTCCGTACTCTGCTCCAACACCACAGCTCAGAGGCATCCATTCCTCTTGTCATCTTTGTTCATTGTCTGACTCTCAGACACATAACAAGTAATTGAAAGACTATGCCCTGAATTGGGCAGACTTTTTTTTTTTTAAGTCTTAAACATTCTTTATTTGCTATCATATACAAACCACACTGAAATGGTTTTTGTCATTTAAAAGGGAACATTTTAGGTACAGAGAATTTGAATTCCATTAACGTAGTCAAGAGCAAATAGATAAAGTCTTGCTACATTATCTCTAGCCCTTGCATTTAAAGAGGCTGATAAATAGAAATTGAAGCAGGTGAGGTGTGTTCTGTTCCATGTGACAGTAAAGACACCCTTGTATTTAAATAAGATTCAGTTATAGAAATCTAAATATAAAAACTATCTCCTATAGATTGTGATGTGGCATCCACCATCTCTGTTAAAAACTGAGTATGACTAATCCAACTAACCTAGAGTCCAGTCATCTCTTTGGAAGGGAAAAGTAGTAAACACCACCTGCTAAATTACTATCAAAATTGTAGAAGTGTGACCATAATAATTTAAACAAAGCCAAACTTACCGAATGCAGGACTGTCTTATCAAAAATATTCTATCAGCCATTCATGATGTAAATTCTGGTATGAGACCAATTTAAATATGGTACATGTAAAAAAAAGTCACAAGACATTTCTATTTTGTAATAAGTAAGGCAGAGGCCAACTATGTTATTCATTGGTAGCTTTCTTAAGATAAGCTATCAACTCTGCCCTAGACTTTTATCTTTAAACTGAAATCATTGCTCCTCAGTAATTTGGAGAGGTCCCTGACAGTAGACTTTCCTTATGCAACATGTCTCCTGACTGCTGGTACCAAGGATATTGATTGTGGATCCAAGTAAGATGAAGTTGTTGACAGTTTCAATCTTTATTCCATCTATCATGATATTGTCTATTAGCCCAGTGGTGAGGATTTTGCCTTGGACAATGATATTGGACACTGTTCTATTGGACAATACAAGTGAAAAAGCATTTCCATCATCATGGAAAGTTCTTTTGGATAGCTTGGGTATAGTTTAAGACTGTTGCCTCACTCATAGATTCATGTATTCGTTTATTCATGGAACATCAGTTATCTGCTAGATACTGTGCTCAGTGCTGGGGTGTTAAGGTAAACTAGCAGATGACGTATACACACACTAATTAAAATATCATATTCTTAAAATAGAGGTGCTTATGCCGTGGTGAGAAAAGGCCTGACAGTGTAATAGTTAGAGCTTGGCTAGTAAGCAGTTGACATTTTGGAAACACCAAGCAAGTTCTGAATATAGAAAAGAACTGGTGATCTGCTGCTGTAACGATTACAGCTCAGGCACTCTACAGGCAGATCTGCTCTGACCTAAAAGATCGCTGTGAGTCAGAACCCACTCGGGTATAATGCGCCATCACTTTGAGAGGTCCAAAGTTGACGACGGTCACTTCTTCCATACAGGTGGAGGACAGTGTGTGTCTGGGGCATTGTGTGGTCTCGGCCAAACTAATATTGGGGTACTTGTGGGATTGGCTGCTGACTGTGTCTTTTCACCATTGCAGGGCCATAATCATCCGAAGTGGAGAAATCATCCCCATGTCTTCGGAATTCACCCCTGAGACTGAGCGCCAGCGGCTTCAGTACCTGGTAAGCGTCCTGTAGGCCTGGCAGAGAGGGTGGCGTCGGTGACGGTGTCGGAGCTGTTTGGGAAGGAAAGGTTGCTATTGACATGGAGCCGTCCTGTCACTGTCACACGACATATGGCGTTCGCTCCCCCCACACACCTTCTGGATCACACATCCTGGCTCCGGGAGTGACGACACACTCCACCTCCGTGAATTTATTATTGCGGCTGCTTCTCTCCCATCTGTGGCCAATGGAAGACACAGTGTGCTCTATTTCTCTTCATGGTTTGTGATTTACAGCATGAAAAGCCCTTGTGAAGACGACGGATGCCACGTCCTTGGCCTGTCTCTGCAGAGGGTTGAGTGTGGCTCTGAGGAGGAACCTCTACCTTCCTGGCGCCTCTGAGCTCCCTGCTGACAGCCCTCCCCATTGTGCTCAGATATGAAGTCTCTAGGGCCCTTTGGGAGAAATACAGGTGTCAGAAAACCTGTTTCTTCCTGAAAATAAACTATTGATGTAGAGCATCTTCTTTGGGGTGAAATTATGAGAGTTCTCTAGGAGAACTAAGGAAAGCATAGAGATACAGTGACTACTCACTGACCAGTGCTTTACCAGCAACTGCTCTTTGGGAGAAAGATGCTTCTGTAGGGATTTACAGCCTTGGAAATGCTATGAGATCGTTCTACACCATAGTGTCACTATGAGTCAGAATCAGTTCAGTGGTAGTCGGGTTGTTTAGCGTGGTGGGGGAGCTTTTGGTTTCTTCATGCTTGAGAAATTGGTTTTACTTGCAGATTTGAGGTTTTGAGGAAGCTAGAGATTGACTTCTTCATCCTCAAATTCCAATGACAAGACCTTGGACTTAAAATCCTAATCAGAAACGACTTTGATAGTCCTCATAGCTCATCACCATCTTTGGGAATGAACTCTATGCACGATAGTTCTGTGGATGAAATGTGTTCTTCCAACCGGCTCTTTTCCTAGACAGCGTAGCTAAAGCAGTGACTCGGTGGTTCCAGGGAAGACTTGATCTCCGTTAGTCAAGGAGGACTTTGTTCGTGACTCTGAATTCCTGTCTAAGTGGATGGATGAGCTGTACTTGGTTGATTTGGTTGACTTAAAGCATAGCCTGGCACTTTCTCTCTGTACTTTCCCTCTTTACTCCTTTGTCCATGTTTCCCCTTCTTTTACTCTGTAATTAAGCTTTATTGGACTTGCTGATTATACTACGTTAGATAGCAGGAATCCAAAAACTAATGTCAAAACAGTGCTTTGAATGTGGTTTTGCTCTTTTACCTGCTGCTGTTTTCAAGCCAGGTGATGAACTCAAAGTAGCTGTGAGCAACCCCAGACTTTAGCACTCTTCCTTATAGCTTGATTGTCTATACAGGCAGAAGGTCCCTATTCCAGGACCAGCTCTGTTACTTAGACTTTTGTGGCTTTGTAGAAGCCTCTTAATGTCTCTAGGCCTTGTTTTGTCACATGCGTGATAGAGAACTAGCCGAGAGGTTTACCAAGAGCCATTGAGTTGCAAGGGCCCTTGTAAGCAGAGTTCAAAATAGCTGGGTCCCTGCTATCTATATGGCTTTCTCCATTTTTTTTTCTCCCACGGGCCACCAAAGTGGCCTTCTCATTTCCAGGCTTGAAAGCTTTAGCCCCCAAAACTCAGAGATAGAAGACCATACTTCTTGGCAGTCCCAGAATCAAGGTCATTCATCACCTCATTGCTACCATGCATCCATTGCTCCATCCCCAGAGAACTTTCTTCCATTTCTGTACACACCGTATCTCCTTTACCTGCATGGCTTTTGGAGTATGCACTGCCGAGATGGCCCTTGCCTTTCTTCTCTGTCAGGAAAGTGCATCCTCTGAGACCTCAGCACAATGGTCTCCTCCTCAGAGAGGCATCCTCCATCTTGCCTGGACCTGCCCCATCCTCTCCCATCTGTGCCCACACAGGAACAAACGGATGCCTGTATTGTGGCTATCAGTGCATAGTGCTGTCTTACTGGTTAGTATCTCTGCCTTCTGCAGACCCAGTTCAAGAGGACAAGCTCTGAATCTTAGTAACCTCATGTTGCAAGTACCCAACACAATATCTGGCACAGAGGACATATTGAGTCAGAACTTGTTGATTGAATGGAAGAAAAGCCAGTATCACCATGGACTCTGGGTCATTACCTTCTAATATTTCTGTTCCACCATCCCCTAAAACCTGCCATGGCAGGGCATGGTGCCTTTACCGCCCCTGCCTCCACCATGCCTATCTTTGTCACCCCCTGGCCCTAAGGCAATGAGTACTAACAGATCAGCTGTTTTCATTTCTTATTCTGAAATGACTCCATACTTTGAGGTTATAAGAATGACACAAAGAAGTCCAAAGGTTGACTGCTACAGAGGGCTGAGGATGTAGAATATTTTCAGACTCCTGAACATTATAATATATTTTGAGCTTGTTTCCCCTGAGGGTTGCAAGGAGTTTACACTTGACCACTAACCAAAGGGTGGATGGGTGGGTGCGTGGGTGGGTGGGTTGGTTGGTTGGGTTCTGCCCCGCAGTGCTGTGGAGGTGCAGCCTGACAATCTGCTGCTGTAGGGTCACAGCCATTGGTTATCCGATGGAGCCCAATTCCAGTGTGATGAGTCTGAATCAGTGCACCAGCAGCTGGTATATTTTGAGATAGTTGGAATAAGGTGCAATTGAATTCAGGTCTTGACTTTGTCCTGTAACGGTGTGTGTCAAGAGACTAGGATCATAGACTTTCAAATAAGCAAATCCTGTAATAATGTTCACACAATCTATAACATGAATATTTATGGCAACGTATTTGAGAGATTAGGTTTATAGCATAAGTTCTTGCAAATCCTGGTGCGTGATCTGGACTCAACTCAGCCTAACCTTCTTCTCAGCTGTGTGACCTCAAGTGTTCACGTGCTGTCTCTGAACTGCCTTGTGAAATGAGATTTCCTCGAGATATTCATAACATACTTTGAAATCTGAATAGGAAGTAATCCTGTGGTATTATAAAATGCAGTATACTGTTTTATAATTTTAAATGTGTCTAATCCTCTCAATTCATTTTTCTGAAACATTAGTTCCCTTGAACTCCTTGTTACACAGTTCAATGTAGTGAGGCTATAGTATTCTTTTCCTTTACTCCATCTGAAAGTTAACAACGTAGCCTTTATTCTTGGGTCAAATCAAATTTTGTTTTATGGTGTGTGGAGAAACATTCATAATAGAATCGTTAAAACTCCTCGTCCCTAGCCGTTTGCTCTGAGCAGATGTCTGCAGTGCTAGTGCTGTTTGATGGGTAGCAATGGTTAATGGTTTCCTTGGGGGGGAGGGGATGTCAGAGAATGGTCCGGGCCCTTCGCACATGAATCATTTTGATCCAGGTTCAAGAGGAATGTTCTTGATGCACACGGAGCCAGGCTTTGAGGGATTATGGAACTGGAAGCAGATTACAAGATGATGGATGTGGTGAGCACCTTGATTTTGTTTGGTCTTGTGTCCTGACCTCACAGTCCTCTCCGTGTGACATGAACTTTGTTTCACAGATTCCCGTGCAGGGTGATTAATGGAGCTGGCTTGAAGGGTTTGACAGGTTCACACGGACTGTGGCAGGTGTGTGATGCGTGGGTCAGGGGCTGCGCACTCCTGCCCCCACAGCCAGGGAGAGCTGATGAGCCTGCTGACACACAAGCCTTCCTGTTCCCTTACTGGGTTTATTTTTTTTAAAGAAATCTTTCCAGGGTGGTTGAAATAAAATATCTAAGGAAGCCTACCAAGGTAGACAGGATATTTCACTGGAGTCATGGCTCAGATCAGAAGGAAGAAAGGGGCTCTATATAACTCATAGACTTTTCTTGGCAGCTTACGCTCAGGTTCTGGGAAGGAGACACTACCCCAACCTTTGCTTCAGGTGACAGCCAGAAATGGATCTCCCTCAGGGGACTGCCATAGCCCTGAGGTGTGAGAATGATGGCTTTGCCTCCATTCTGCCCAGACATATTTATAAACTCTGATTTGATTACATTAAGATGTGCTGGTATCATCAAACCTTCAAATAATGTACCTCTCTGTCCTTGCGGAATAATCCGACTCTGCAGCTGTTTTTCATCAAGGGCAATGTACAGAAGAGATGAAAGTAGGTTTCAAATACACATTTGATACACACAAGTGCAATATTATCTGAGGTGATTGCTTGTGGTGTCCTTGGAGCTACCTCAGCTTTATATACTGAGTCTGATTCTGTTTGTCTCCTGTTTCCCTGGTGCTGGGCTTGGAAGGGTTTCAGATGAGCAATGTGGTGCCTTTTGGTGCTTGGGGAATTTTTTTTTTTTTTGTGCTCAAGTGCTACCTTCAGAAAAGTGTTTTTTATACCCAAACCTGATTTTAAGACTATAGGCATATAGGGAAAGTTCAAGTGTTTTAGTGAATATAAATGACTAACTGGCCACCTCAGTACCCCACTTAGCCATTAGAGGAGGTCATTGGGCCAGGGAGCCTGGCTTCTGTCACGGGTGCAGCTTTGTTCGGAAGCAGAGCATGTGACTGATTGATGGGAAAATCCACTCTGGTCGCACCTTCCAGCCCATTCCGCTTAATCTCATTCCGTACAACTGCATTTGAGTGTCAGATTTCTAATTTTAAAAATCACAGGCCAGCGTCTGTTGTGATATTTTTAATATGCTATTGATCCCAGGAGGGAGCTCTGGTGGCCTAGTGTCAAGAAGCTGGCACTGCAATCCTTAAAGCAAGCGATTTGAATCCACCAGCTACTCCATGGGGGGATGGACAATCTCCTCCCATGCAATTAAATGCCTCTAAAAACCGACCGGAGGGTCAGCTATGAATTGTTTCCAACTCAATGGTACCCAGCAACAACAACAACATAGATTCCATTGGCCACAAAAGTCTCCTGAAAAAAGACTGAAGACATTAGAACATGAAGTGCCACTCAGAGATTCCAAGGCACAGAGCACTACCTGTGGCACCTTGCCTGACTTGCCAGAAA